CAGAGAGAGAGGGAGTCACAGACTGAAACAGGCTCCAGGCTCTGAGCTGGCAGGCAGCACAGAGCCCGACGCGGGGCTCGAACCCACGAACCGCGAGATCATGACCTAAGCGAAAGTCGGACGCTTAACCGACTAAGCCACCCAGGCGCCCCACTTTGTATGATTCTTAAGCCTTTTAGATTTGTTGAGAATCGTTTCATGGCCTAACATCTCATCTATCCTGAAGAATGTTCCATGTGCACTTGGGAAGAATGAGTATCCTATTGTCGTTGGGTTGAGTGTTATATAGATGTTGATGTGGGGCTGCAAGCAAGCAGTCAAGAAAGAATTCTTGAGACATTTTCGATGCAAAAAGGTGCTTTTAATATAGTACAGGGACAGGACTCGTGGGCAGAAGAGCTGCACTTTTGCTATATGAAGCTGGTGATTATATGCTTAGGGCTCAAGGGGGAGAGGACACGCAGGGAGCATTAGATCATAAACATTTCTTCAAATATCTATCCATAAAACTACTTTTGCAAGATTTCTCTGGTGCTTATCATTCAGTCCGATAGTAATTGATGAGATTTTGGGTCGTCATGAGACCCTTCAAGAATGTAGCAACCAGCACTTAATTTGATCCTTCACGAAAACTCTGCTGGCTGTAGGTCAGGCTGCTGGGCTAAAAGTGAGCATTTTCCTGCTCTTGTCCCTCATCCTTGGGTGTCTGTTCGATCTCTGCCTTTGTGTTTGGGCATGCCTTCAACGCTAAACCAGGAAGTTTAAAATTCTGCGTTAGCATTCACTTTCTGCTTGTGCAGAGCCCCAAGGTCAGTCAGAAGGGAGATGTTAGAGCCTTCCCAGGTCCCTCCTGAGGTTATGCGTTGTCCTGTGCACGTGCCTGGCCTTCTGGGTTCCTGGGAAAATGGGGGGGGTTCATCCCGCCTGTGGAGATCTCTTTCATTCCTCAGCTTGTCCTCTTGAGCTCCCTGGCTGGTCTTTTGTTTGCCCAGCTGCTACCTATTACCTCAGGCAGACTGGTGTTTAAAAACTCAGCTCACATACCCAGGGAGAGGCCCTTAGTGCTGGAGGAGACTCAGAGAAGCTGAATAAAGACAAGCCTTTTGAGTGGAGCCTTTTAGGGTACCAGTAACCAGGCCAGATGACAACTTCCGCTCGGGAATGAGGCTTTCCCGGATCTCCAGCCCCCGTCTGCTCCCTCTGGTCCTGGGGGGCATGCTGGTTTTTTCCAGGTTGCTGCGGAGCTGGGGGAGTAGGAGATGAGACTAGAACAAGTTGAAATGCCAGAACATTGAGCTGTTTTTCGTGACGGTATTGCCACCAGAGTTGCTGCAAGCCTTTGGTTAACTTCCAGAGTATTTGAAAAGTTGTTTCTGACACACTTTGCCCTTTTGTTGTTGTTGCCTTTTTAAAAAAAATGTTTTTAACGTTTATCCATTTTTGAGAGACAGAGAATTGGTGGGGGAGGGGCAGAGAGAGGGAGACACAGAATCCAAAGCAGGCTCCAGCCTCTGAGCTGTCAGCATAGAGCCCGATGCAGGGCTCGAACCCACAAACCGTGAGATCATGACCTGAGCCGAAGTCGGGCACTTAACTGACTGAGCCACACATGTGCCCCATGTTGTTACTGCTTTTATGGAGGGGCAAGCTTCTGGAGGTCATTGCTATTTTCACTGGCATCACCACCATCAGTTCTTTAATGGAGGGTAAGGTACTGAGATTTTGGGGAACCCGTGAAGTAAGGAGGCAGTTGTGTAAGATTTCTAATAGTGATGTTGGATCATGTCTTTTTACTTGGTTAAAAGCAAACATCTTTAGCTTTGCTGTTTATTATGTAATAATTCAGTGATCTGGTACAATGGCATGAGGAGCTAAGTCAGTTTTTCATTCTTTCAGGGACTTAAATATAAAATTGCTTTTGAATTTATGTAAATTCTGTTGTTGAAAGAAGAAATTGGGAGGAATTCTAAGATTTTCTTTGGTTGGAGGCCAGTGCCTTGGGTAGTATTACAAAATGTTGTTCTTATTATATGATATTAAAACAGTGCCTGTTTTCTTCTTGTGGTTTACATTTTCAGGGTACCTTTGATGATTACTTGGAGTTATTTCTTCAGTTTGGTTACGTGAGCCTTTTCTCCTGCGTTTACCCATTAGCAGCTGCCTTCGCTGTGTTAAATAACTTCACTGAAGTTAACTCGGATGCCTTAAAGATGTGCAGGGTCTTGAAACGCCCATTCTCAGAACCTTCAGCCAGTATTGGTGTGTGGCAGGTAATTATTTGAGAAAAAAATTATTCCTTTGGGGAGAAACAGCAAAATGGGCCATTATGATTAAAAATGAAGGTGCTAAGGAGAGATTTGGGATTTTTATTTATTTTGTTTTGGCCACAAACTAGCAGTTGTGTGACTTCAAAAACAGTCATTCCCTTTTTTGGGCCTTGCTTTCCTTGTTTTTAAAATTGGGGATGGGGTGGTGGAGGCAAATTATAATTTCCATGACCCCTTTCAGATGTAAAAATTCTGATAGGAAAGTAGCCAGGAGGGACTTCACCCACTGAGTGATAATGAGGCCCTGGCCACTGCAGTGTCAGGGCAGATCGTGTCGGGAGGCTGGCTTTCACCCCTACCTCGCAATATTGAGGCCCCTTTTCCACTGTCTGCTGGGATGGTCTCCGATAAAGCCCAATGGAGAGTCAGGCTTTCCACCACCACCCAGCCCAGCAGGGGCCACGTGGGAGCACATATGAGACACTTGACCCCTCCTAGCAGAAGAGGTGTCTGTGGGAAGGTCTAGTGGGAGACCAGAACTCTGACCCCAGGCCAGCAATAGTAAGGACCCCACCCTCCCCACGGGGTGTCAGCGGTACCCGGATGGCAACCTAACAAGGTGTTTTCCCTGCTTCCCTGCTAGAGTGGTGTTCGCAGGACCGCCGACACCAAACGTTTAAATACAGTATAGAATCGTACAACTCCGAAAATGTTCAGGTTTCTATTTAAAACCCATCACACCAAGAACCAGGATGAACCGAAAAGAAAAGAAAAAGGATAGTCAGTAGGTGCCACCATCAAGATGACAGATATTAGAAATGTCAGACAGATTTTAAAGCAGCCTTGATAAAATGAATACACCTAGAACAGATAGAAAAATAGAATTAGAATATCTCAGCAAAGAACTAGGAGATATAAAGGAGAGGCAAATAGGTATTTTAGAAATGGAAAATATAACTAACATAAAAAGCTTAGTGGATGAGTGCAGTAGCAGCATGAAGGAATAGAGTAAGGATCAGAAACCGAAAAATAGAGAATAGAAATGATTCAATCTGAACAGCAGAGAAAAAATAGACTGACAAAGTAAATATAACCTCAGAGACCTGTGGGACTATAACTAACAAAAGATCTAACATTCCTGTTATGGGAGTCCCAGAAGGAGAGGAGAAAGGAGGGGTTAAAAAATACCTGAAGTAATAAGGCCAAGTCTTTCTGATTTGGCAAGAGACGTAAAACTACAGATTCAAGAAATTGAATGGATCCCAGACAGGATAAGTCCCCAACAGTTCACGTCCAACACATCATAATTAAACATATGAAAACTAAAGACAAAAACTTGAAAGCACCAAGAGAGAAATGACATGTTGTCTTAGAGGAAAACAGTTAGGATGATAGCTAGTTTCTCATCAGAAATCATGGAGGCCAGAAGAAAGCAGCATCGTATTTTTCAAGTGCTGAAAGAAAAGTAGTGTCAATACCAAATCCTGTATTCAGAGAAAACATCCTTCAAGAGTGAAGGGGAGGGGTGCCTGGGTGGTTCGGTCGGTTAAGCATCAGACTCTTGATTTTGGTTCAGGTCATGATCTCATGGTTTTTGCATCAGGCTCTGTGCTGACCTCATAGAGCCTGCTTCTAATTCTCTGTCTCCCTTTTTCTCTGTCCCTCCCCTGCTTGCTCTCTCTCTCAAAAAAGTAAATAAACTAAAAAACAAAACAAAACAAAAAAAAAACCCAAAAGAATGAAGGGGAAGTCAAGACCCTTTCAGGTGAAAGAAAATTAAGAGAATTTATTGCCCCAAAACCTATCCTAAAAGAATAGCTACTTTATTTATTGATTGATTTTTAAATGTTTGTTTATTTTGAGAGGGAGTGAGTAGGGGAGGGGCAGAGAGAAAGAGAGGGAGGGAGAGAGAGAGAGTGAGAGAGAGAGAGAGAGAGAGAGAGAATCCCACACAGGCTTCACACTGTCAGAGCAGAACCCAGTTCAGGGCTCCATCTCATGAAACCAAGAGATCATGACTTGAGCCAAAATCAAGAATCAGATGCTTCAATGACTGAGCCATATAGGTGCCCCCTAAAAGAGTAGTTAGAAGTTCTTCAAACTCAAGGAAATGGTAAAAGAAGGGACCTGGGAATATCAGGAAGAAAAACCATGGAAAGCAAAAATACGAGGAAATGTAATTAGACTTTCTTTCTCTTGAGTCTTTAAAGTTATGTTTGACAATTGAAATAAAAATTATAATACTATCTAATGATTGTAAATATATGTGGTGAAAATATGAGCTATTTTATAGAATGGTAGAGGGAGGTGAGCTTTCTGTACATCCTTCAGACTGGTAAATGATCACACAAGTAGACTGAACCTATGTAGATAGTCCTCAACTTACAAGGGTTCAAGTTACGATATTTTGACTTTACAGTGGTGGGAAAGCGAGATGTATTCAGTAGAAACCATGCCTCAAGTTTTGCATTTGGATGTTTTCCCAAGCCAGTGGTATGCGTTATGACCATGGTGCTGGGCAGCAAACCATGGCTGCCAGGTAGCCACCCAGTCACTTAGAACAAGTCCATGCCCACACAGCCATTCTGTTTTTCACTTTCAGTGCCGTGTTCAACAAATTACAGGAAATACTCAATACTTTATTATAAAATAGGCTTTGTGTTAGAGGATTTTGCCCCGCTGTAGGCTCATCTAAGGGCTCTTAGCACATTTAAGGTGACCTCGGCTAAGCTATAATTCAGTAGATTAGGCGTATTAGATACATTTTTGTCTTACATTATTTTTAACTTACCATTTTTGAACATAACTCCTCCTAAGTCAAGATCATTCACACACACACACACTGTAATATGTAATATATGTAATAAATTGCTAAGAAGACATAGCAGTCTTAATGTGTATGTACTGAACAACATTTTAAAATACATAAACCAGAAATTCATGGAACTGAATGGAGAAATAGATGAATCCACATTACAGTTGGAGACTTCAGCATCGTTTCTCACCAGTCAGTAGAACAAGAGCAAGGATGTCAGCAAGGATATAGAAGAGCTCAGCAGCACCACCACCATCAGAGAACAGAACCGAATCCATATCACAGAGCACTCTGCTCTACGGTTGTAGAATGCACTTTCAAGTGCTTACAGAACCTTCATCTGGGGCATAAAATAAACTTTAAACATTTTAAAGATTTGAAATTATGTACAGAATGTTCTCTGACTCTAGTGGAATCCAACCAGAAATCAGTAGCGGAAAGTCTCCAAACACTTGAAAACTAAATGCACAGTTTTCTTGAGAGAGAAAGAGAAAGAGAGAGTATACTAGTCGGGGAGGGACAGTGGGGGTTGGGGGGGTAGAGAGAGAGAGAGAGAGAAAGGTCTTAAGCAGGCTCCATGCCTAGTGTGGAGCCTGACATGGGGTTAGTCTCACCACTATGAGATCATAACTTGAGCTGAAATCAAGAGTTGGTCACTTAACTAACTGAGCCACACGAGCACCCCTACATGCACATTTCTTAAATAATCATGGGTCAAAGAGAAAGTTTCAAGTGAATTCAAAAGACATTGAACTGAATGAAAATGAAAATACAACATATCAAACAGCTACAGCAGGGCTGACAGGGAAATCTGTAGCACTGAATGCATACACTGAAAAAGAGGAAAATATCTCAAATAATAATCTAAATGCCCACTCAGGAAACTAGAAACAAGGAGCAGAAGAAACCCAGAAGCAGCAGAAAGAAGAAAATAATTAAGATAAGAGTACAAATGGATGAAATGAAAAACAAAAATAATCGAGATCACTGGAACAAAAGAGTTGGTTCTTTGGAAAGATCAGTGTAGTTGACAAACCTCTAGCAGGACTAACTAAAGAAAGAAGAGACACCAGTATAAACATAAAACAGCAGATATCACTACAGGCCCTTAGGTATCAGAAGTATTAAAGGGAGTATTATGAGCAACTCTACACACATAAATTTGACAATTTGGATCAATTCCTCCAAAAATTCAAACTGCCGCAACTCACCCAATATGAAATAGATAATTTGAGTAGCTCTGTAACTGTAAGAAAATTCAATTTGTAGTTACAAATTTCTGAAAAAGAAATACACTGGCCCAAATGATTTCACTAGCAAGTTCTAACATTTAAAGAAGAATTAATACCACTTTTACACAATTTCTTCCAAAAAACAGAGGAGGGAATATTTCCTCATTCACTTTATGAAGCTAGTATCAGCATAGGAAAACATCAGAGTATGAGAAAGGAAAACAACAAACCAACATCCCTTGTGAGTGACTATACAAAACACCTTCATAAGCGATTAGCAGGTAGAATTCAACAATCTATAAAAAGTGTATACCATGACCTGTGGGATTTAGTCCAGGGATGCCAGCCGGGTTTAATGTTAGGAAATTAATCTGTATAATCTACCATTTAATAGTTTGAAAAAGAAAAACTGCACGGTTGTATCAACCAGTACATCAAAAGCATTTGAGAGAATCCAACATTCCTTTTTGAAAACTCTCAGAAAAATAGAAATGGAAGTACTCAACTTGATAAGGGACATCTATTTTTTCAAAATCTAAAGCTAACATCATACCTATTGGTGAAAAATTGAATGCTTTCCTTCTAAAATTAGGAACAATGCAAGGATATGCACTCTTGCTATCTTTATTGGACATAGTACTAGAAGTTCTAAGTAGCACAATAAGGCCAGTGATGTGTCCAGTTTACCCACTAGCTGACCTCAGGTGTATGAGCAAATCCAGTCGAGGTCAGCTGAGACCAGAAGAATTGCTGAGGTGAGCATATCCTAAATTGCCCACCCACAGAATCATGAGATAAATAAATGGCTGTTTGAAGCCAGAGTTTGGGGTGGTTGGTTAGATAGTAAGAGCTAGCTGATAAAGGAAGTCTCAATATTCAATATATTATCAATTCTCTGTTCATTTACAAATTAATTTACAAATTAATTTATAAATGTAGCACTATGCCAGCCAAAGTTTTTCTTTTAAGGAGGTAAATGTATTGTCACATTCACAGGGGCAAATAAATGAACTAGAATAGCAAGAAAACTATAAAGAAGAAGAACAGGGACACTTACCGTATATTAAAACTTATTATATAACCTCAGTTATTAATGGTTAATGGTACAGTGCATTAGTAGGCAATCAGACCAGAGAAACAGACTGGAAAGTCCAGAAATGGATTATGTGGTATATGTGAAATCTCAGTTCAGTAGGGGAAATGGTTGTCTGCTAATAGCATTGAGACAACTAGGTTTCCAGATGCGGGGGAAAGTTTGCTCTTCTAAAGTTAAAAGAAGACAAGGCAAGACACAGAATGGGAGAAAAAGTACACAATACATACGTCTGCCAGAGGACTTGTATTCAGATTAAGGACTCTTACAACTCAGTAAGACATTTCAGCCTTTAAAAACAAGGGCAGTGATTTGAAGAAGTACTTCAACAAAAAACCTATGTGAATGGCCAAAGAGCTCATGAAAAGACTTATAAACATGCACCTACCATACCCCCAGCGTATGGGCTTCTACATATCCAGGAGCAATGAGAATATGAACATTTCAGGGCTGCACGGATATGTCTCTAGTAACTTGATTCACAGTAGTCCAAAACTGGAAACAGCCCAGCGTTCCACCTGTACGTAAATGGGTAAAAAGTGATGGCGTAGTCATAAAATGGAATACTACTCCGCAATAAGAATTATATACAGATAGATATATAGATATATAGATATATCTGTATAATATGGTTCAATCTCAAAATCATACTGGGTGAAAGCACAAGGAAGAGCAGATACTATATGATTCCAGTTATGACATTCTAGAACATACAATCTGCAGTGACGAAGAGCAGATCAGGGTACTTTTGGCCAGGTGTGAAGAGAAGGATGGATTACAGTGGGTCATGAGGAATCTTTTGGGGGAAGTAGAAATATTCTGTATCTTATTTGTGGTGGTGGTTTCCCAGGTATATACATGTATCAAATGAAGTGTATGCCTTCATTGAATACAGTTTATTGCACATAAGTTATAACTCAGTGTAGCTATGTTTGAAAATCCTGTTTCATTATAGGTGTAGTAAAAGTGCAGGAAGCCAGGCACTCTCCTTATATGCTGCTGAGAGGAGAGTGAACTGGTCAGCCCCGTGGAGTGCAGCTTGGCATTATTTATCCAAATTATGAACGCGTGGTACCTTTGACTCAGGTGTTCTACTTTAAGGAATTTGTCCTAATTCCACTCTTGTTAAATGATGTATTTACGTGGTGACTAATTGGAGCAATGATTGTAATAGCAAGTAATGCCCGCCAATAAGGAAATGTTTAAATAACTTCTGGTACATCTATGCAATAAAATATTTAAGCAGCTGTGACAAAGAATGAGGGAGTTCTTTGAGTACTGACGTATTCTCCAAGATATTTTAACTGACAAAAGCAAGGGAACTGACAGTATGTATTAGGCTGAAAAGAGGGTAAGAAAGGGTATATATATATTCAAATTTACTTATAAAGTTTGCATATAAAGTATCCAGAAAGTTCAAAAATATTAATAATGACGATGCTTTTATAGGGAGAACAGGAGCTCACACAGGTAAGGGGTACATAGAGAGGTCAAGGAGACTCTTCACTGTAACTTCAAGTGTTTCAGTTCTGAGCTATGTGAAAATAAAACATTTTAAGTTATTTAAAAAGAAGATAAAGTCTTGAGTAGGTTTGTTGTAAAGAAATCCAGGGAAAAATTACCAGGTTATTACTGAGGATTCCTAAAGTCAGATAGCAGAAATTCTCCATGAGACCAGATATTTATTCAGTTTGGATCCAATCATGTTTTGTTTTGCTTCTTTTAAAATTTTAGTTTCTAACAGTAATCACATTTCTTAGAATTAGTGGGACTTTTTTCTGGTTCTTTTTTTAAACTAAAATGGAGTTGACACACAGTGTTGCGTTTGTGTTGAGTGTGCAGCGTAGAAGACCGGGCAAGTCTCCATGCCATGCCGTGCTCGCCACGAGCTTAGTGCCGTGTGTCACCACGCAGCGCTGATACAGCACTGTGACTGTGTCCCTACGCTGCACCTTTCATCCCTGTGACTTGCTCATTCTGTAATGGACGCCTGTGTCTCCCCCTCCCTGTGGTTAAGTTACCAAGTAGTGATCAAGGCCTGTGGTTGCAACATTTCTGCAGTCAGTACTCCATAGTGTTCTCCACGAAACTCCTCCACGAAGCCTTGGATAAGTCTGTACAGCAGCTCAGTGGGCTGAAGTCCCACAGGCAAATGCCACTAGAAAAGGATCACCGTAACCTCTGGTATAGCTGGACCAGATGTGGTCTGTAATGTGGCAGAGTAAGGCAGTCACAAAAATTCTATTTGAAATCATACCTAACAGTTTTTGAATGTGAACCATTTTTTCTGGCAGCCCCATCTTAGATTCCCTTAGGTCCGAGTTGAGTAACTTGAACAGTGTACCCCTCTAGGGTGTATTCCGAATTCTCAGATCCCTGGCTACCTCTGGCTGGCCAGGTAGAACATACTGCCTTGGCTCTTGCAGCCAAAAGTACTGAAAATGCCGTGTAACAGTGTGACTTTTTAAAGCCAGAGAAAATCACAGCATTATAGCGAGAAAGTTTTAAATGTACTTGGGGTATTTAGAATGAGGGAAAGGCTTTTTCTTTGATTTTATATAATACAAAAAAAAAAAAAAAGGATGAGGAAATATGCAAAAGGCCATTGTGGTTTTTAATTTCACATTTTGTTTTCTTTTAGTTGGCTTTTGAGACCATGAGTGTTATATCTGTGGTCACTAACTGTGCCCTAATTGGGATGTCACCACAAGTGAATGCCCTCTTCCCAGAGTCAAAATTGGACCTCGTGTTGATTGTGGTGGCAGTGGAGGTAAGTGAAACTCTACCCCTATTTTACACAGTCTCCACATCAGATGCCTCTGTTAAAGCAGAGATGACTGCCAGAAAGCAGTGACATCCCTGACTGTCCGTGACTGGCAGTTTAACGACATGCATTTCCTGTAAGAAAGCAGGTATTTCAGATGATGGAAGGACATGAGGCTTGAGCTCTGCCTTTCTGGTTGCTGCCCAGCTATGAGAGATGGTCGCTGTGGTGTGCATGGGAAAGTGTCCCTTCCCACCATCGTGCTGACCTGTCCAGCACTGAGTAGATAACTTCTATAGGAAATAGATTTCTGTAGATTTGATGGGTTTTTTTTTAGCCTCTTTTAGGGATCCATCATTTCTGCTTAAGTAGATAAATCCTGAGAAATGCTTTTCGATAATGACTTAAATCTCGTTAGCAACAGGTGTGGAATTCATTGTGAAACTCCAGAACACCAAAATGTAATATGTCACAGGAAGACTCGTAATTTTACGTACAAAGTACAGGTAGGCTAGTGGGCTGTAGTTTTTAGGTTTTCATTTTGTTTATGGCATCTCTGAACATGGATTACGGTACCGTCTTGAAAAATCAGCACTGACCGATTGCAAATGGAGACATTTGCGGCAATTTTTTTTATTGCTAGCGCTTGTTGTCAGGAATATTGTGATCTTTTGTTTTCAGATACTTTAAAAATAGAACAATTGTGGAGATTTAATAAAGCAGAATTTAGCAGTACGATAGAGCAGTGGTTCATACACCTACGGCCTCAGGACCGAGGGCCGACTTGCAATGAAACTGAACTTGGGCCTTTCCCGTAGTGGCTGAAGAAATAGATTCTGCTTTGCCGTGTTTACTCCCTCTGTGTATTTAATAGGAATCTGTATTCATGGTAGATGCTATATGCAGAATATGTGTTTTGGAGAATGATTTTAGACAGCAGTGAGTAGGAGGGAAAGGGGAGGGCTCTGGCAGATAAAAGTAGGTCTGTTTTGAATTTTGAGAGTTGAATAGAATTTTGGAGAGCTATTTGCAAGGCCGATTTCTCACCTGTGTAAGTGAGAGATCAAAACAGAGGTGTCTTCGATGGCCAGCTGCCCAGGTTTGTAGCAGACCTCCATGACTTAGGATATGCCCTTCAACCTCGTGGATCTGGGAACTTGTCTTTGCCAGTACGTCCAGAGTTAACTAGGCTTTTGGGACTGACACTTAAAACTAACGAGACTCACAGAGGGCTGACCAGAATGCCAGGCAGTTAATTTACCATTGGGAGGTACTTCTCCAGTGACTAACAGTTGGTGTTGAAGTTAAAATGGAGTTGGTTTACTAGAAGATTCCCTGGTAAATTGGGAACCCGAATGAGAGGAGTATAAGAGCCTTGAGAGACACGGACAAGCTGAAAAGCACCCCCCTCCCCCAAACTGAGCAGAGCTCTGGCGGGAGCCGGGTCGGGCTCAGCTTCCAGCTTCTGCCCAATGCTCGAGGTGCTCTGCCCACCTCTGGTTTCGCCTTCGCTTCCTCTAGAGCCCTGGCTGGCCCGGGATTCTGTACATTCCCGGTGCTACCGCTTTCTTGTTTTGTATTCGCTGAGGTCTTCACGTCAGATGTCCATGGCCTGTTCTCTGCACAGAATCTGGGAGCTAGCCTGGCCTCCGGGAGCACTCTGCACATAGCACCTGCCAGGAAGTTGCTGGCCTGCGTGGGGTGGGTGCCGTATGGCTTGGTGTTTGGCTAGAGTGTCTAGCAGCTCTCTGTCTCGCTAGGCTGCCCCTGTGCTGGCCCATTGGCTAGAGCACAGGCTTTTCTTAGGACTTTTTTTTTTTTCCTGTGCCTGTGGGCATTTCTGCTTGGCACTTCCTCAGCCGTTAGTCTAGGACACTTGACGTAGTGGAATAGCCAGGTTCCTGAGGGTCCTGGGGCCTCTGGTGAGTCAGCCTCCTCCTTTCTACCTTTCGGAGTTTTCAGAAGTCCTCACGTTGTTTATTAATCTTTTTTGTTTTTTCTTTTCTCTTTTGCTTAGGACCACAGTTCTTCCTTTGGGCCTGGCTAGCACACTATTAATTCCTTAGGTCTCAGCTCAGCTGTCACTGGTCTTCTAGGCTTTTCTGATCCTTCCGTCTCTGCTGGATCTCTTCAGTTAGCCTCTCATTAAGCCTTGATTGCCCTTCTTCAGGGTGATTATCCCATTTATATGCCTTGCCCTTCCTGGTAGGCTTGTTTATGTAATGTCTGTCTCTCCCATGCACTGTAGGCTTCTTAAGATCAGGGACAGTGTCTGCTTTTCTATCTAGTAAATAAAACTCCTTTTTCTTTCTCTTTTCTTTTCTTTTTTTTTTTTTTTTTTTACTTAAAAACAAAAAATGGGGTGGTTCAGTCAGTTAAGCATCTGACTTTGACTTAGGTCATGATCTCACAGTTTGTGAGTTCGAGCCCCAGGTCAGGTTCTGTGGTGACAGCTCAGAGCCTGGAGCCTGCTTTGGATTCTGTGTCTCCCTCTCTGCCCCTCCCCTGCTAATGCTGTCTCTCTCTCTGTCTCTCTCTCTGTCTCAAAAATAAACATTAAGAAAAGTAATAAAAAGTTGGTATTATTCTTTTTTTGATAAACTTACATTCAGTATTAATTATATGACTATATTTGTTTATAGCATTTTCTAAGTTCTACTTCTAGAACACAATGTGGCAAGTGCTCATTTTTTTTTATTCCTTAATTAAATGATACACAGTCAGTATTGAGAGCTGCTATGTATATGATACTGAATCTGGTGCTAAGGGAAGACAAAGCTGTCTTTTTATTTTTGTCCTCAAGAACTCTGCTTCTTAATGTAGCTGAGAAGATGTGCCCACTTTGCACATACACGCATGCACACGCACATACCCGCGTACGTACACCAGAGTTAAATACATCTACGAGAGATGTAACTAGACAGAGTAAGTGATATGTCAAGTGAATGGTCTGTGGTGACATGGAGGAGAAGATGATCATGACCGTCAGCCAAAGACAGGAGACCCTTTGTGGCCTTCATCATCTTCTTTGGTGAGGTCTGGGGCCTCTCTAGCCTACTTTGGGAAGGCCTGGATGTGAGTCAATCCTGATTTCCTCCAGGCTAGTGGAGACTTCTCCCTCTGAATTCTAGCCTGGGTATAATAAGGGATACCTGGCAACCTGAAGGGTGGAAGGCAAAAGCTTAGCCACAGACTGATTTAGAGTCAGTCATGACATAGAAGAAACATATTTTTCAGCTTAAAATTATTCCCCATAGGCCAGAATGCCAGCAATGGTTTAGGCTATTTCATTACCAGCTAGACCTCTAAACAAGAAGTATTTCCTTTGGTCACCAAGATTAAATCCTTATAAAAGTGATTATTTGGGTGTGTACTGGAAAACATTTAAAAAACACAAAAACATTTCTATGAGACAACTCATAGAAATGTTACCAATATTTATTAATATAGAGATCATTGCTAATATTGAGGTTGCTCAGAGTTAAGTCAAAGGGTGAAGGAGTGTGAGGAGGTTGTAGCTAAATGTATACTGCTTTCTCATTGTTTTTATTGTGGTAAAGTAAACCTAACATTAATTTACCATTTTAACCTATTTAAAAATTGTGGTAAAAAAAATGTAATAATGAAATTTACCCTTTTAACTATTTTTAAGTGTACAGTTCAAGGCATTAACTGAAACTCTGTATCTGTTAAACACCAAGTCCCCTTTCCTGATTCTCCAGCCCTGGTAATCCCCATTGTCCTTTCTGTCCACGTGAATTTGATTACTCTAGGAACCTCCTATAACAGAATCATCCAATATCTGTCCTTTTGTGTCTAGGTTATTTCACTTAGCATAAGGTCTTCAGGGTTCATTTGTGTTATAGCTTATGTCAAAATTTCCTTTCTTTTTAGGACTCATGATATTCCCTTGGATGTATATACCACATTTTGTTTATCCATTCATCAGTCGATGGACACTGGGTTGCTTCTACATTTTGGCTGTTGTGAATAATATTGCTGTGAACATGGATGTACAAATATCCATTGAGTCCCTGTTTCACTTCTTTAGAGTATATAGGCAGAAACAAGATTTCTGGGTTATGTGGTAATTCTGTCTTTAATTTTTTGAGGAAACACAATACCATTTTTCATAGTGGCTGTACCATTTTACATTCCCATCATCAGTGCACAAGCATTTGTTCAATTTCTCCACATCCTTGCCAACATTTGTTATTTTCTGTTTTTTGTTTGTCTAGTAATAGTCATCTTAATGGGTATAAGGTAATACCTCATTATAGTTTTGATTTTCCGGACAAGCAGTGATGTTCACCATCTTTTCATGTGCTTTTTGGCCATTTGAATATCTTTTTTAGATATTTGTTCAGTTCTTCATCCATTTTAATTGCCATTTGTCTTTTTATTTGTTGACTTGTAGGAGTTCTTTATATATTCTGGATGTCAATCTCTTATTAGATACATGACTTGCAAATATCTTTTCCTCATTCTGTGGGTTACCTTTATATTCTGTTGATACTACCTCTTGATGCATAGAAGTCCAGGTTTTCTACTTTTTTTCTTTTGCTGCCTATGCTTTTGGTGTCATATCCAAGAAATCATTGCCAAATCTAATGTCATGAAGGTTTTGTCCTATCTTTCTATAGGAGTTTTATAGTGTTAGGTCCTAAGTTTAGGTCTTTGATCCATTTTGAGTTAAGTTTTATATATGGTGTAAGGTAAGGGTCCAATTTCATTCTTTTGCATGTGGACATCAGTTTTCCCAGCACCCTGTTGACGAGACTCCTTCCCCCAGTGAATGGCATTGCCGCCCTTGATGGAAATCATTTGACCGTGTAAGTGAAGGTTTCTTTCTGGGCTCTTAATTCAATTCCATTTCTGCCTTCCTATATGTCTGTCTCTTTTATTTTTAACCACTTTATTGATGTGTGATTGACCTAGAAAAGGTTGTACGTATTTAATATCTATAACTTGATGAACTTGGTGATAAGTATCCGCCTGTCTTTATG